TCCGCTACTCTCGCTGGCTCTAGTGATCCTCGACCTCCCTAGCTATGGAGCTGGTGGGTAACAGAGGTTTGGAAATATATGATATCTTGATAAATCGAGCAGATATTTGAAGCTTACACAGCTACATTCTCTCTTGAAAATAACTTAAAAGTTTATTTTGTGACAGAGAAAGAGTAATATTTAAAAGGTTTTAGCCACGCTCCTCTGCCATTGCCGCGTTTGGGTTTTGAACGAAATGCATTCTGGGATATTTAGCTGTACCAAGTACACACAAGTACGCATATTGAGACAGGCCCAAGGATTTCAGACAGCACAAATACATGTTTTGAATGAACAGTGTAAAATTCATAGTTGGAATTTATGCTGCTAACGGAAATTCAGTTTCTTAGCCATTAGCTTAAAATGTACTTTTCAGTGGCTAATTGGTTCTGGCTTGAAACAGCTTAGGAGCTAGAGCTGTTCAACAGTAATGCCACCAAGACTATAAAAGCCTCATACTTTATACCACCAAATGTGCATATACTATCAATGTTTGCATCCATGATTACATGGATATGTATTGATGTATGTGTATGTATTTGAAAGAAAACAATATTTTATTATCACATTGCTGCTGAAGCACAGCGAGTAGCCATTAGTAAGACTATTGTAAAAGTGAACAATCATAAAATTGATGTTTGGGAGTTATATTCATGAAAACTGTTGTAAAAGTGTATATTTTAACCTATAGCAGGATCTTCTACTAAACTTAACCTGTAGTTTGCTAGCAAGTGAAATATTGGCCCTAGCCAATGGATGAAAGTCCTTTTATCTTTTAATCAAGAACACTAATATCAGGTGATTTTCACCCACGTGTAAGGATAGTGTTACAAAACTCCAATTAGTGTTCTAGGGTAAAAAATCTGACTAACTATACACGTGTAACAGTCTAACTGATAGAGTCATAACAGTGATCAAAAAACACTGAGTGTAAGGATAGTCACACAGATGATTCTGTACTATAGATATCTATATATGGGTCAGATGAGGTGCCTGTCAGAGGCAAAGAAGGGAAAGCATTTCAGAAAGCACAACCACTGCAGAGATTTCAGGTAAAACGTCTCAACCTTAGAAAAAGAGCTAGACATCTGGATTGAGAATTAAAGGTCAGCAATGATTTAAAAAAAAAAAACGATGCTTGCAAAGGAAGTAAATGAGGACCAAAATGCAGAATCACAAGAATATACAGACACTAAGTCATGATAAGACACAGACACAATCAGCAATTTAGTTATATTCAATAAAGGGCACGTTATTATCTGTGGGTGAGAAAGCATAAAATAACGGCATGATTCTATGTGTAACTAAGTGCATTCAGGTATACATAGATCTGAAGATAACACTAAACTATATATTTAACTTGCAGACAGGGCTAAAAACCTAGTTAACCAAATCCATTCCTTGGAGTCGTGGTCCTGACAATGTCAGCCTTTACTTATCCAGAAAAAAGGCCCAAAAACAATGAATCTCAAATGGAAATCCTGCTTGGGGAGAGAGAAAAGCAGAAACAGGAGACAGAAAACAAAGTTCCTGGAAAGGAAAGTCAATTAATTGCATGAGTGGATAATTATTAAGAGAGCAACGGATGAGTTTTCATGCATAATTTCCCCCAGCTGTTATTGGACTGTTTGGTCCACAAGAGAAATAGAGAAGAGAGGAAGCAGAGAAGATGAAGGAAAGAAAGGGAAAGACGAAGAAAGATCAGGCAGTAAAGAACTGAGAATGGAAAACAGACATTGGATTGAGGGTATAAGTAATTGGGAATAAGGGTAAAAAACAAAAAAAGGCAGCACGGGAGACACAGCATGAAAGATAAAGGCAAAGGAGAGAATGACAAGAAGACAGGGAAGGAAAATGGCTTGAAAAATAGTCAAGGAGACACAAATTAGATGTAGGTTTTCTTTCAAGTCCTCACTTCATTTTCCACTCCACTTCTTCTCTCTTCTATCTATTAATCAGGCTCTTATTTACTGGCCAAAGGGTAAATCTGCTTAAAAGCATCTTAGCAGGCAGCCCTAGCGAAAATACGCTTTCAAAAAAATATCCTCCTGATCAGCTGATATAAAACAAGACATAACAAAACCTCGAGCGCAGTTCAAAGCAGGGCCATAACCTTTCCTCGGCTGCAGCCATGGCCATGAACGGCTCTTGAACTATGACGGACCCATCAGCCTGTACTGTGCAGTGTGTTTATTTCTTGTGAAATGCTCATCCTTTACACACTAAAATGTGTGTTATACGACAAGCACAAGTAGCACAAGAGACAAAATGTCAGTGTTGCTAATAGAAATATCCCGACTCTGATTGTTGGATTGGAATTTTTTTGTAAATCAGTATCGAGGATAATTTAGAAACTTTTTTTGTTGGTTTTCGCTGATGAAAATTAAAGTGCAGCATTTGTTCAGAGAGGCCACAAAGTCAAGCTCAGCTGTAATCCCACCAGATCATCAAACCTAAATGGCAACCTGCCATCAGCTGATGACTTCCAGAAATCAAATCAGCAAATCTCATCTAGAGCGCTTTTTAAGATTCTTGAGCAATGACCACAGATGCAGCCCATCTGCAACATCCACCCCAGCGCCCCACTTAATCCTCTCTGACCTAATGTCATATACACTCACTGTCCACTTGATTAGGTACACTTGCTGAACTGCTCATTAAAGCAAAGATATAATCAGCTAATCACATGGCAGCAACTTGCATTTGGGAGTGCATTCACGGTCAAGACAGCTTGTTGACCCATGGATCCATGATGATCTGGTATCATTGGTTCAGGATGGTATTAGTGGTGTAAAGGTGCTGGGGATGGTTTCTGCTGCTGCTGACCATGTCCATCTCCTTATGAGCACAGTGTACCCATTGTTTGATGATTGCTTCCAAGAGGATAACACATTTTTTTTCAAAGCCCAAATTATCTCAAGATGATTTCTTGAACATGGTAATAAGTTCAGTGTACCCAAATGGTTTGCACACTCCAGCAGACCTCAATTTAACAGAGCATCTTTGGGATTATGTGGAAATTTGCATTATGGATGTGTAGCCAATAAATCGGCTACATAAATGCATGATGCTTTCATGTCAGTATGGACCAACATCTCTGCAGAATGATCTAGCATCTTGCTGAATGAAGAATTGAAGCTATTCTGAGAAAAGGAAAAAGGGGTATCTGACCTGGCCAGTGAGTACATCTTGTTTTTGATGCCTCCTGTCCTCTGTGCTGAGTCTACCTGCTGCTCTCTCTGGTTTATGTTTTCCACATATGCACATTTGGAAGGTTGAGAAGGTCCGTAAACAGAGCCATGCTGCCAAATCTAAATTAATGCAGGCAGAAATATTAATCTCCTTTTGACTTTAGTGGTCCCGACTGAACTAACTTAACCACAGGTAAAATTCTGACAACCTAAAATATAGCTTTTTGATTTGTGCTGTTTTATTATTATTATTATTATTATTATTAAATGTGTTGTGAGATTTTGTGACTGCAGGGTATGGTGTTCAAATAATCTGATATTTTATATCTATATAAAAAATGTAGCTCAGTTCCAATTTTCTGCTCTGTTGCATCTAAAAGTGTATTTTTTTCTGCAAGAAGACAATGTTTACTGCAGCTGACAATAAATGAGGGCTTCATGCCAAAGAGAGTATTCAGGATGTTTCACTTGATATAATGTGATGAGAAAAATGGAGAGAATATTTTTGTTTACCAACATCACACTAATATTTCAATATATTATGATCTCTATCTACAACACGAAAGGCAGCTGTAGTGTCGTCCAAATAGAGCTATCCATTGGAGCCAAAACACGCCTA